ACAAGATAGATGTAAGTTAACATGATGTTTGATATTGTTTATTCTGATAATGTACAATCCTGAAATTAGGCCACCCTCCCCAATCATCTTGGATTGTTTGGTGTCCTGAATGAAAAAATGATGACTTTCAAAGATCAAATGTATATGTGTAAGGGCAAGTAACTTAGCCACTGAAATGAGTTTGACATGGAAGGTGGGAGTGTATAAGACATAATGAAGAATCAACTTATCATTGATAACAAGTTTACTTATGGCATGTTCATGTGTTTGAATGCCATTCGGTAGAGTAATAAATTTTGCTAGAAATGGTTCGTATGACTCAAAAAAGTGATATTGCAACAAATATGAGATGTAGCACCTGAATCTATGATCTAAGTACTAAAAGATTGCGATTTATGTGAGTCAAGGGTGGAAAAACTCAATGACTGGGTTGACAAATGTAGTAGCTTCAGATATCCTAGCCTTGGATATTTGAGTCTGAAGATACTGAATGATTTGTTGGAAATTCTGTGAGGCCATTGCTCCCATATCAGGAACAAATTCAGTACTTATGGTGTCATGGTCATGAACATTATTTCTTTGTTGGGATGGATTGTAAGCTTGAGTATTCTTGTATCCATGAGGGTATCCATGAAGCTTGAAGCACTTTCTTTGAGGTGGCTAATGATTCCACAGTGAGAACAAGTGGGTCTTTCCTTCTTGAATTTCTTAGAACTGGCTTGAACAATACAGCCATTGGCATTTCAGTGTGAGGTATGGTGGTTGTGACTTCTCTTTGTTTCACATCTTGAGTAAACATTGATAAAACGACATTTATTTAAGGTAAAGGATCCATGAGAAATATTTTTCCATAGACCTGATTGAAAGATTTTGTCAAGCCCATCAAGAATGTTAGAATATGTCCATTATACATGTGATCAACAATCACTACGCCAAATAAGCTATTTAATAGCGCTTTTTTTGTTTTTGATAGCGCTTAAAAGTGCTATTAACCGCGCCACTATTGTAAATATTTCTTATTTAATAGCACTTTAAAAGCGCTATTAAAGTACCAATTTATAATAGCGTTTTAATTAAAGTGCTATCAAAGTCAGTATTTTGCATGTTTTTTGTTTGTTTTTTTTATAGCACTCTAAACAAAAAGCGCTAATATATAACATATGTTTGATAGCGCTTTCAAATAAAGTGCTAATAAATGGTACATATTTGGTACAATATTTTTAATAAGTACAGTACAATATTTTTTCTTACACAATCATTTTTTTTGGTGTAAATATAAAATAACTATATTCAATTCAACACAAATAACGCTTTAAGTTACTCATTGCATATATATTATGATCCATCAAATACCAAATAACATTTTAAATTACCAAATCCTATTGTTTCCAAATATCATAACATATAGAATATTAAGAGGGCGTTTGCATAGCCAAATTTGTAGATGCCCATCTATGAGTACTTCAATCCAAATCCAAAAACATACAATCAAATTCTCTAAACAAAACACCAATAATATGTTTGTGGGACCAAGGTCTTGTCTCTCTTCTTCAGATAGAGCTTCTGTTAACTTCTCCTGACATTGATAAGTATAAAAGAAATAACCAATAGTTAGATACAAGTTGCAATTGATGGCTATTCTATCAAAATAAGACACAAAGACTCAATTAATTAAGGAAAATCGAGTTTAATGACTTCAAACTAACTAACAAAATACAAATTCGGTAACAATGATGAGTATAGAAAAAGTGTCACATCTATAATGTGAGCATTTTGGAAATAACATCTATAGTGTCACATCTAAAATTCGACTTACACATTGATCCACAACTCTTTGAACATTCTCATTATCAATCACCCCGCTCTTATTGACGCGGGCAGCCTTCCACACTTGACTACGGTTTATCTCACCAACTTCTGACTCTTCTACCTGTATATACATTTTTACAAATTAACATAGCAATTAAATTTTTTTATAATATTGTATAGTACATTTATACACATACTTACCATATCAGCTTCAAGACGAGCACACCCTAAACGTGACTTCATGAGCATCTTTAGGTACAACAAGATTGTTTTCAACTGCCTGAACCTGAACCAATCCTTACATCAGTTTGAAGTTCTCATCTGCTTTGTCTTTTATAAAGCACTTCTCAAAAACAAAAACAAAAAAACTTGAAAGCAGTTTACTTAGAAAACGTACTAATGATTGAATGTGTTCTTGTGATTCAGGTTGATTCTGGCAAATAGAAGTTACTATTTGCGGATACATATCGAGCGTTCTTCCAGAGGATACAACTGCTTGCATGAGATAAGGTTTAAGTTTGAAGGCACAATTTGTAATTACTTTCTCCCCCAAGGTCCAACAAATAGGTGAAATAGTCTGAGAAAATCGAGTAAAACCAGATCATCACAGTGAAATTGATAAATAATGCAGAGGAAAACACAGCACTAATAATGCAAAGTATGTTACCTGGTTCTCCTTTTTTACACTATCTAACAAAGGCCTAAGAAGATCCAAGGAAATATCTTCGCTTTCGTCAAGTATCCCGATCATTACATTCTCCATTGATTCAATTACATTACTCGGATGGTTTGACCTTTAAATTTAGCAAACAATATCTCAAGTAATTAACAAAACTAGATAGTGTAAGTTTATCCAAGGGGTAACTTGTACAAGAACTGATGCAAATTTTGCAGAACACTTGTTAGATAAAAAATCATTCATGATATGGATTCATCAAATAAGTGAAGGGTCATAAATTATATTAAATCTAACAAAGACATTGCCTACTCACTTTATAGAGATTACATGCATTCATCAAATAAGTATAACAAAAATCAAATCCTTTTCTCACGGCATGTTTCTTATAGGAAATGACATAGCAGAACCAATATCACATCAATGATTCATTCCCTAAAGGTTCAACAATGTTTTACTTCGATCATCAATTACCAAAGTAACAAAAATAATGAAAACCCAAATGGAGGTATTAAATTTCATCTATGCAAGTTTTGAACGAGAACTACGTAGCACTGGTTCTTCAAATTGAAGGCATATTCGGTGTCTGACACTGACGCGACACCGACACATGTGGTTCAATTCTATCATTCAATTTATCTAATAATTACAGCTTCTGAAATGTCAACGTCAACGGCATGTGTCTGGTATCCGTGTTTGAGTCAGTGCTACGTAAACCAGAAGTAACATAAAAATATATGTTGTGAGTGCGCTAACCTTATAATTCTCAGGAACTGTTGAAACATCTCCATAACCAGGTCATCACACTCAAGGTCCAGCATAATCAAGAACATTTTGATCTTTGAAAAATTTTCAAGTATGCTAATTGCTTTTTCATAGCTGCGGCCAGATACATGTGACAATTTTTCAAAAGCTGACACAGCCAGCTTCAAAAATTCCTGTCCACCATGAAATGAGATGTTTTTTCTGTACAACTTGAAAACTATCTATAATATATAGTATCTACAATGAAAATTACATCAAGTTAAAACAAGTACCTTCATCAGTTCATCGTCATAAGGTGCATCCGGTGCTGTAATTCTTGTAATCTGAGTGAGACAAGCTGTAACAGAAATCTTAACATCCTCGTCTGCGTGTCTCAAAAGTTGATCAGAAATCAATGTCTTTATTGGAAGTACAAGTGATCCTTGAATTTGCTTGGGTGGATCATGATCCAAGATTGATAATATCAGCTCCAATTTCTAAAAGTTTGAATCACCAAATACAAGGGGGAAAAAATCAGAATTCAATCAGTCTTATAAGAACAGAAGCACAGGATTACATATTCAAGATATACAATTGAATTCAACAAATCCAGCAGAAACATAAACATATATCAATAGATATGAAAATTAGTAGAGAGAACATAAGATCAATTTGTAAAACACAAATCTAGAATATAGATATGTTAGAATAGAAACCCTAGCTCAAAAGAATCTGATACAAAAAGCGCAAACAAATAACGAAATTTGATCACAGAGTTCGGCCAAGTGTACCTGCATTTACCAAATAAAATACTAGAATTGGTTTATATCATTACCCTAAATCATACCTATCAGCAAACTATGAGTAATAACCAACAAGACACAAAATTGAGCAAAGCAGGAAGATGAATTCAGCAAAATTCATGACACAAAAATGAAGCAGAAATGAGATAGGTTACATCAAGTAATTGAAGAAGCTTATCAACTGAAGAAGTCAAGTTTTTGGATAGCTGTCTTCCAACATGTCACAGCCAATTCACTGTATCATCATCAATCAAAACAATGCTATCAGTAGAACAAGCCATGTTTTGCTCACAATTACAGCACACAAAACCCTAAAAATCATCAATATACAACTCTACAAAACAATAGAAGCCTTATCACTCAAACTAGAACAAACTCTAATGACCTATCAAATTTTTTCTTCAACACTCTTTCTTTCGGTGACTTAACTCCATTCACAACATTCAACTCAATCTCACTCACAGCCAAATCAATTCTACTTAACTTCTCATTCTTTGGTATCCCCAAGAAAGTAACCTTTTCAATGATCCATTTTTGGTCCAAAGCAAATTTTCCATTTGTAACATTTGATCTTACAGAAACACTATTGTTATGAAATTCACTATAAAATCTAACAAATGCCCACTGCTCTTTCTCTTCTATATCAACAGCCTCACCATCATCCAAATAAACCTGTCCATAACTATTTCCATTTCCATTAAAAACAATCACAAATTGGAATGCGGTGTTCCTGGACGCTTCCGTTGTCAATTTAATTAACACAAAATATGTAATCTGTAATCTAGTCAATTTAAAAATCAAAAGATGCGCGAATGAGTAGTGTTAGCAAAAAGCAATAAAATTAACACAAAATAGAAGTAATCAGTGCACTAATACTAGTTAATAATCCTAGATCACAAAAACAATGAAGTCGATGAACAAAAGAAAAAGGGTTCAAAATTTCAAACCAAGTACAAGAAGCCCTTATATCAGTGATGCACAAGGGAAAGGCTGCATATGAGCACAATAGCATAGACAGCACAATCCATGAAGACAGCATCAGCCACAGTCTTCAGCACCATTCCAATTTCCAATGTTTTTGCAAGCTGTGCATATTGATCAGAAGAATCAGCGCTGGCGCTGGCACTGGCGTTGTTCCGTCTCCTCCTCAACCTTTCATCAGAGCCTCTTTGTTTCCCAGAAATAATTTTCGCAACAACAAAAGACGAATTTGTGAGGAGAACCAAGTAAAGTGGTCTAAAGCTTATACTAGTCTTAATCAAAGAGAATCCTAGACAAGAGGCAACAACCAATAAGGCAACTATAATCGAACAACAAAGACGCGTAAACCTTGAGGCATCAACGACATTCGTCACATCCCTAGGGCTTATGAAATCGAAACTTCTAGGTTCTTCGAGCTGGGAAATTTCATCAGATGAATCTTGATGTGTTGTTGGTGGTTGAGGTTGAAATAGAGGTTATGATTCTTGTACATGTTCAGGTTCAATTTCAGAATTGGGGAAACTTAAAATCTCACTTTCACTGTGTTGTTTTTCAGGCAAAATTTCGGCATCAACGTGATTCTGCAAAACGGAATTCGGATACTCCTGCTCCTCGTCGTTGGCGTGAGGCAGATCTGAAGAAAAGCAGTTGTAAAATCAAAATTGAATTCTAGGGTTTGTAGATGGATGATTACAGAAGCAATAAGAAGAGAGAAAATTGAAATGAAAGAGAAGAGAAGAGGTAGTTACCGGGAGGAGGGAGGGTTTGGATCCGACCCTGGATGAAGGCAAGACGGTCGGATCCTTGTTGGAGGATTCTTCTTCTTCTCCGGGCGTCTCTCAGGTTGTTTGCTTCTGTCATTTTTTTCCCCTTCCTCTTTACTTCAGCTCAGGCTTTGTATTGCCAACTGACTCAAATCCTTGAAATTTTTGTTTCTTTATGGTTTTGAGTTAACTCAATGCTGCTGCTAAAGAAATGTTAACTTTGATCTTAGTTCATTCATTTTTTATATAAATATAGTTTAAGGTTTTTTTAATATTATATATATAACATAGCGCTTTTTAATAAATGCTATTATATAGGTAGTCAAATAATAGCGTTTTATACAAAATGCTATCTTAAAGAAGTTTAATAATAGCGTTCTGGTACAAAGTGCTATCAAAATTACATAGTCTGTATTATATAATAGCGCCCGATTAAAAAGTGCTATTATAAATGTGTTTTTTCCATTTTAATAGCATTTTTTTTAAAAGTGCTATTAAATTAGGTGATACAAAAAATCATTTTTGGCGTAGTGAATTGGTTGTACTCCACTCAGTGACATGTATGAACAGGTCGATATTCACCTAATTCCTCACACAATGATTTTAATTGAGTGTAGTATGCACTTACAGTTGAGGAACATTGGGTGCAACTTAGCAAATTCTTTTTCAGTTGAAAAACGCGAGGACCATCTTTTGTTGGAATCGATCTTGAAGCTCTCTCCAGATTCATGCAACATTTTCTACGTAGATGACGCTGGCATAGATCTCCTTGAAGAATGAGTTAAGAAGCCATGATGACATTGTACTATTGTTTTGCATCCAAGAAAAAAATTGAGGTGAATTTTCTTCTGGTTTTGGAATCGTGCCATCCATAAAACCAGTCTTATTCTTGCCATCAAGAGCCATGATCATCGCGCGACGCCGTGAATTGAAGTTATCTCCGGTGAGTGGTTAAGAAACCAAGACAATGTCGATATGGTCAGATAAATGAAGGTGATATGGATCATTGTGGTTTTCTATGAATGTAGATGCTCACGAATGAGAGAGAATAGGATGAACAAAATCACAATGAGGAGAACCAAAATGAAAGCAAATCAGAAAATATTTTCTGATACCATATTATAGTAAAGATTATTCATAGTGAAAACACAAAGATGATATTAATTACGAAGTGATTCAATTTTTAATGTGTGAGCCTTCCACATATATATATGTGTAGAAGTTCACTAATGTAAAGCAGTTACAAGTAATAACAAAGTACAAGCCAATTAATTACACCAAAAACCAAAAACTAAAATTAACTTGTATCTTATGCAACTAACTTGATAACTAACTAACAAATGATCTTAATAATGCAATGTGGTGTTTTATTTAATTTCCCATATAATATTTTTGGATATGTATCTCCGAAATCATCATTGAGTTGTTAAATAAAACATTTCAGTGAATACAAACACCATAAACGAGTACAAGGGCGTTTATGAAGATGCATCTCCGAATAAACTTCAAATAATATACGAAGATGAATCTTCCGATTATATTCTGGAAAAAATGGAGTCCTTGGCTGAAATACGGAGGCTAGTGTGATTTAAGAAGCGTCGGGAGATATATCTTCGAACAAAGTAAGAATGTTTTTAGATTTTAAGAGGTGCGAGGCATATTCCATATAGTGTGATTAGGGGTGTTCGCGGGCTGGTTTGGTTCAGTTTTGAGAGAATCCGATGTCCAGACCGATAAAAAATATATGAATTTGTTTGGATTGGATTTGCACATTTTTGCGTTAAAGCCCAAACTGAACCAAACCAAAAAACAACGGGTTGGTTTGAGTTGGGTTGATCGGGTACATTGGAAACAAATATGAAAAAATATTTTAAAAAAATATTTAAATTACATCAATTAATTTTCCATAACAATATAAAATTTCTAATTTTTTCATTTCTCCATATATGTTATGAATGTCAAAAATGACGTTTAATTTTTTTTCTTCTTGAAGTGGAATATCTTATACTAGTTTTTATTATAACGATGATATAAATCATATAAATTAATATGGTTGGTTCAGGCAGACAAACTCGCGGGTAGAATTTCATAAATCCGTTTCCCAAACCGATTAACACCGGGTTTCATTGGTTTGGTTTAGTTTTTGCCCAAACTAAAAAAAATTCCCATCTCAAACTCTATAGTTTGCTTTGTATTCCAGTTTGGTTCAGATTTTCCCGAACCAATGAACACCCCTAAGTGGGATAAGTATCTCTAAACAAAACTCGAATTCTTACTAGGCTTGAGCCCAAGTTCATTTGTATATGTATTTTCCATCCCAACACCCTCATTTCCCACTCTCACAAATCATAATCTCTCGTTATATTCTTACTTTTTTTGACTCACACATCCTTCCCTATCGATGACTGATTTACAACAGTTTCCCTACATTGTTCCGTTTGTTCTTTCTTGATGTTCCTAACTTCATTCTTAACTGGTGAGTCAAACATTACTTCACTCTCCATATTTTATTGTAACTTCACACTAGTGTAGCCTTTCTAGGAGGACCTTTAGACTGGTCCGCGCTAGCAGGATTTTCTGACCATGTCGCTTACAAGATATGGCATGTCGAAGTATATACTTGGTTTTCTTTAATTGCATACTTTTTCAAGTGTTTGAAAGTTGATGTATTTTATTTTTGATTTTTATAAGAGCGTCCAGTGATGAAGGTCAATTCTCATGGTTCAAAGTTGAAGAACTTCCCAAAGAGTCTCACGCCTGAGGAGGTTAGCCACATTGTTAGAGATTTTTAACTACTGGACAATCGCCTACAATTTATTGCAGTTCATTTAGATAACCTTATGAGTTTGATAAACCCTGGTGGTGAGATCTATACATGTTTAGCTAGGTTAGTCGACGTAGCTCGTGGTGGGCCTATTTTGATCTGTATTATTTTAGTTGTATTGTATGTATATTTTGTGACACACAAACTTCTTATTCATTGCGTAATATTTTGGCGATTACATGTTTCGAATCGATGATAAACATAATATAAAATAGTAAAACAAACATAAACCAAAACTAACTAAACATGAAAACCTAGGATTTATCAAATGATTCTGGATGTTTCACCATCTTCATTATATCTTCGACGGATATTTGGATCTCCACATCAAACTTGATCAAAACTTTAGTTATCCTATGGCAAAATGTTTTCCATACGGCCTTCGCATCTTCATCAGTCTTCAACTCAATCAGATTGTATTTCATCCAACCATCTGTATCAATATAATGGTTCCGAAACTCGATCTTTGTCACCCTTATGTTATCGAAATTAGGCAACAATGCATCCAACATTTCTTTTAAGATGGCAAGGGATGCATTACCATCTGGAAGCTTGAATTCAACAGCATGGTTGCTTCTGTTGTAATATACCTCTGCCTTAATCAGAAATTGAGGAAGAGACATTTCTTTGAGATGTTTTCTCTATAGCATGTCCTTATTGTGATACGGTGGTAGAACCGACTGCTTTTTGTTACTACTGGTTTTGTGTTTTTTGTTTGCAAATGTACGGTAAGCAAGAGTCGCCACCGTATTTTATTTCATCCAACAAAGGAAAAGGAAAAAAGAACATAAAAAACCTTTTTCGAGATGTTTATGAGTACGGGGGGTAGATTATAGAAAGGAAAGGTGTTAGCACCCTTTCTATCCATGGTTTTCCATGGGATCTTACGTACTTGCTCATTTTTAAATTGCTTTTGTGTGTTTGTGTGCTTTTTGAAAGGTTTCGAAATTGCCTTAGTGGGCGTTTCACTTTATGGTAACCGTTGTATCAGTCCGCAAGAGTGTGATAAAGCGTTTTTGAAAAACTTTTGTTTGAAAAGTGTTTGAAAGTGTAAGTGTAAAAATTTGTTGTTTTGAGCAAGTACTTAAGAGTTTCTACCTACTCAAAAAAGACAATTCGTTTTCTTATTTCCTTTAGACAGCGCTATCCTACTATTAAGGAGTGGGTAGCTCCATTGTTGGAGTTTAAGGGACAATTGAAAGGGACGATTACGATCACGAAAGTAATGGTTAGGAAACCTTAGTAATTATCCTAGAGTCCTAAAGATATTTCTGAGGCAACATTCGAATGGGTCATTTTTTATCTTTTGAGACTAGAGGGAAATTACTAAAACTCCCTATACTTCATGACCGTTTTCCGAAGGCAACCGAAGTGGGGCAAACCCTAGGAGTGAGCATGTGCGAGTGTTTGATTTCAGTTTATTTAATCTTTGCACATTTAGGGTTTTCTACTGTTTTAAATTATTGATCTTTTGCATACAATCCTATTATCAATCATCTAACAGTTTATAATGACGGAAAGTAAAATGCGAGAAATTTAAACCTAGTTATTATAAGGTCTTGGGGAGGGGGATTACATAATCAAAAATTTGGGGAAAACAATAAATAAAAGTAATAACAAACCTAATTAACTATTACAAACTCGGAGCAATTACATTAATTGGAAAAATAAATAAATGTGCGCGAGAATAAATTAAATGAGGAATTAAAGCTTGACGAATCTAATTGATTGAGAAGAAAAATATTTTTTTTGAATTTTTGAGAAAGTAATTAATTTTTCATATTAACCTAATTTCTAATTAATTTTAATTATGAAAAAGGAATTTAAATTATCCTAATTAACCTAATTAATTAATGAAATTAAATATTTTATAAAAAAATCTAATTCTAATGTTTTTTGTGGTTTTTTTGTGTTTTTTTTTTTGTGATTTTAAGATTTAATTAAAAAAACAATGATTTTGTAAAATAATTAAAACCAATAATTAAATAATTAAATAAAGAAATTAAAAAAAGAAATAAAATGGGCCTGGTATGGAATAGCAGACTGGGGGGTGCATGGTTGAAATTTTCCAGGCCCAGAATAGATGGCCCAAGGCTGGCGTTTGATCCAGTGCCATTAGATCTGGGATGCCCACTATGCACTGCACCTACTACACGTTGGATCTTGGATGGAGATGAATCTGATGGTCAGATCCTGAGTTGCATGATGGACACGTTGAATAGTGGTGCATTAGATCCTGCATAGAAATGTTAGAAAAATGCAAAATTGAGTTT